TTTGTGGCGTAATTGGGCTATATTTTCTATAGGTTTTGCATATACTTTTTCCTTTATGCAGCCCCAGTAAAAAAAATCAAGGGGGTTTAGGTCCGGAGATCAAGGAGGCCACAAAATTGAAGCAAGGCGCCCAATCCACCTTCCGGAATATTCCGTGTTTAAATAATCACGTACAGAACGAGCATAATGCGCTGGGCAACCGTCTTGTTGAAACCACATTTCTCTATAGATGTTGAGTGGTACATCTTAAAATAACGTTTGCAAATCGTTTTGAAGAAAATCTAAGTAGTTGTCGCCATTTAATGTTTCAGGCAACTCAAACGGTCCAATTATTTGTCCATTTAAAATTCCGGTCCACATGTTGACTTTGAATTCGTATTGGGACCGGGCTTCACGCATTAAATGCTGGTTTTCCGTGTGCCAGCCATGTACATTGTGCAAGTTTAAATAACCATCTTTTTTAAATGTTGTTTTGTCAGTCCATAAAATTTTGTTTATAAATTGCGGATCTTCACGATTTCTCGCCAACATTGTTCTACAAAAATCCATTCTGAGAGAGTAGTCACGAGGTAATAAACTTTGTACACGTTGCACATGATACGGGTGATATTCGTGTTGCTTTAAAATTCGATGAGCAATACTTTTCGGTATTCCAGTGGCTCTTTCAATCGCACGTACTGAAGTGCTGGGATCATTTCGAATTTCTTCTAAAATTACGTCGTCTTCGTCTCCTTGAGGTCTTCCACCGCTCGTATGAGCACTAGGCAATCGTCCTTCCGCGTATGCCAGGTGTACATTGACGAACACGCGGTGATCAGGGTGACGCTCTAAGTTTGGGTACCTCTCGCGATACAATCTGGCTGCGGCAGAGGCATTACAATGGCGTTCACCGTAAATAAGATGCATGTTCGCATATTCTTCCGCTGTGTACAGATACGGCATGTCGCGAAACGTGTTAGTTTTGCTAAGTACTAACTAATACAGTTTACACAACACAAATCGAGTCCAGGGAATAAGCCAGTCGTCAACACAGATGCAATATCAAGTCCAGGGTAACACAAGCCAAAGTCGTCAGTACAAAAGTTACACGATTACGAGAAGATGCACAGTAAACGAAGGAACGTAGCGTACTAAATGATAATAACCAATGATCAATAATAGAGCATCGGCGTCACTATCCGTCTCGCTCACTCTAATTCATGTCGCACAGCATCACTATCCATCTCACTCTATCACATATGACCATCTCACTTCCGCGATGTTAAAGCCAATCTTCGAGCACACAAAAGTATTATTTATCATGGCATGAGTTTTTTTTTGAAACGAGCTCCTTTTGCAAAAAATAAGTTATAATATTTTTTATGGAATGAAGAGTGGCAAGTATTGTACAGTCAAGAGCACGTCAAGCTTGACACTTTGTACTTTGGACCGTTCTTACCGCAAGCGGCATAGAGTTGGATTTAAATCTTAATTGTCAAGCTGGACGTGCTCTTGACCCTGTACCATTTTGAAATCTTGATTATATGGGCCATCTTTTAAAATAACTTGCCCAAGGTAGTGTAGTACATTTTTAAAAAAATATGAAGTGTCAAAGCTAGCTGACATATTTTTTCTTCATATTTTTTTTAAGCTACGACTCAATGAAACTTATTTTTTTTAATAAACTCATAACTTTTATTGTTTGATTTGTGACAGCAATAAATAGCATGGTTATTTATGATGACGTTAAAAAAAATCACTCCAAAATTTGAAAATTTGTGATGACAATACCTAAACATGTGGTCTAGGGTATCGATTTTCAAAATTTTCAAAGAAATGCCTATTATCACTTAATTAAGTGACATGGATTTTTTTTTTACCAGAACTGATATAACCTGGCCTCTCGCCCAGTGACCGCTTGACGTTGAGTTTTGGGACACCCTGTATATTACTCTGCACTAAAGAAAACAAGAACTGAATGAATCTCAGATATAAGTTTTTTTACTTACTTCGTTTCATGTTTCAAAAAATGAAAGAAACCCTGTCTTAATCCCGTTTAGATGATTATAAACAGCCGTACATAGCACAATTTACGACTACGCACATTATAAATAGTAACGTAAAATGATGTTATATCTATTTTAACGTAAAAATTTCGTAATGAAAAATGAAAACTATATTCAAATAGCAAAGTCTTAGAGCGAAAACGGCTCGCCGACAGCCTTGTTCTTGTTCAGTCAATATGACCGTCAATGTGCGGGGTGTGGTGCGGTATATAAAGCTAGGGATATGGGGAGTGTCCGTTCTCATTACGTATTTGTTCTCTGCTACAGTAAAAAACGGATTGTGATAGCATTAAGGTTCAAAGCGTTATTATTCTAAGGTTCAAAGCTTATCAAAAAGATTTCAGACTACAAAGGTAAAATAGCATGAAACGAAGGTTTGAAATCTTCGTACCAACTTTAGGTATATGTATAAAATTCCTACCATAAAATTTTCAAGAAAACAAAGCAAAGGAAAACAAAGGATTTTATAATATATGCAATAAAATCCTATACGTTTTCGTCTTCAATTATGTTTTGTATCCGCACGTCTTCGCACCGTCTCCACCGCAGGCCATAATGATACATATACGAGTATGTCAGTGTATTAGTTAGTTTTAGTTGAAATGATTCTTGACAAAAATAGAATCGCCTCTTAATTATATTCACCGATTAGTTGACTGTACATACAAAGTGCTTAATTAAAGAGATGTGGAACAATTTACTCAATCCTTCTTCTCTTCAGAGAAGGTAGACTATGATGAGTAGTCTGAAGAGGCAGAGAGAGACTTGTACATTACTGCGAAATAAATTTTATATTTTTGTAACAGGACTCACCGCTTATAAAAAACAAAAATAAAAACCTGAAACATCAGTCTGTTCTAATCTAAAATACGCAATGTTACGCCACCTTCGTGTTTAAAGGCAAACTAAAGTAAGAAAACCTTTACAGCGCCATCTGTGATATGTGCCTCGAACTGCTTACTTACAATGTCACGTAACTTTATAGCGTCGTCGTAGTTTGTAGGCCGCATCATAGAGGACACTGTTCTGCACATGGTTTTGAAAATAATGTATAGATGGCGCTTTTCAAAGTAGCTTTATATATTCACCGATGATGACGCAAGTAAGTGATCCGTACGGTATGTGGTAGTAAGTATTATGAACTCTGATACTGCATAAATATTTATTTAATAATTCTTCAATGGATGACGTGTGAAGAATTTCGTGAATACAATTTCAGTATAGTTTGTGTTAAAGTGTAAATAAAAATACCATTTCGTGATACAATAATTATTATTTATTCATGTATAGTTATTTGAATACATCAAAAATTTTTGGTGTAATACGAAATTCGCTATCGTGGTCGAGCCACAAGCCTACATTACAAAATATCAATAGGCCAGCGAAACACTGTTCTTAAAAATATTGTACATCGTCAGGAATGTACTAAAATTCTACGTCTACTTAGCAAAAATATTAGTGTCTATTCTGTAGTATATTTGAAAAACTAAACTAATTTAAGAGATCTTGAATTTCTGTTCAATTTCATTCTCTAAACCTTAGCAGTTAAATTAATAAACGGACATCGCATTAGCCAATTAGATAGGATAATACAATGTTTTTTTTAAATTACATTTTCCATAATTGTTTTACTGTAAAATTTTAAGCCAAATAATTGTTTATAATTTATACTTTTTAGATTTTCGTGTGTCCGTAATATCGCATATCAACTTCAAAGAATAACAAGTAAAAAATCATAACTTTTGAGTTTTGTTACATCCAAAATTGGTAAAAATATGGCAACATTCTCAGTCTAAAGTTTGCTAGTGTTGCGTTGGGCGACGGGTCTATAGGGTATGTATTCGAAAGTATAACTAACACTGTTTTACATACTGTGTTTGCTATTGTTGGCTTGTATAGGTGTGGATACCGTGTGATAATAAATTAAAATACTGAAAAAATATAATTGGCGTATTCTATACAGAATCTAAAATAATATAAATTTAGATTTATTTACTTATCTCTATAAGTAGTAACATTTTATTTATTCTGGTATTTCAAGATATTGAATTCAACATTCCAATAAGCAATTTACATTCCTACGGATTACTATGGATGTTTTTAAAAGTGTAATCAACTCGTTACCAACATTAATTTAAAAGCGTCGCAAATTGCATGGGATAGACATTATTTTACCGTGTTCATTTAGTTTAAACTTTCAAATGTTATCAACAGAATAGACATCATTGTTGCTTTAAAAATTGTAAGTACACGTTGCATTTCTTTTTAAATTAAATATTACAATTTTAAATTAACTACGTTATAAAATTAAAATCAGTCATTTACAAAGAAAGCTTTTTAAAAATTATTTTTACAACGATTCCTTTTATTAGATTAGTTATTTTTAATGATCCTGATTTTTTTTATTTTGGATTACTGCTTATTGCACTGATATAATCTGAACATAAGCCCTACTTAGTACAGTAGTGTAAAATTATATTCGGGTAGCTTATATTATGCCCTATTATTATTAATAATCTATTTATAGTTGAGGAAGAAACTTATCCCTTAACAATTATAGTGCACAATTATATTTTTTAAATATCAGAATCGAATTTCATTTCCCTCTCTACCACATTGCACAGTCGATAAAATAGCAACACTTTTAAAATTTTGAATTTTTCCTACTTTCAAATAACGATAAAAACAATTTCTACATCTAGTCTCTAAAATAATTATAATTTAAGAAATGGCATTATATTTTTTCGTAAGCCATTTAAGTAGTTGGCCGAAAATTTTTTTTATATAATATATTTTTTTTACAATTCGACAATATTAACGTGACTTACTATTTATTACTCGTAACTATTGGAGTTCACTAACTGTTCAAGATAGAACAATATTCGATTAATCTGTAGTGCTACATAAAATTACATTATGTTTCCCTATGGCTAAGATTTTTCATTAAAAACATATTTTCTTTGACCGTTAAAATGAAGCCGTTAATTTGTAACACAGTCATAATAGTGCTGTCGTCACATTGTGTCATTCGAATTGAAATTCGAATAAGTTAAACGACATTTCACGTTTCGGACACGTTTTGTGGATTAATTCACTTTACTATCAAAGAAAACATTATTTTAAGCGACTACATAAATACCTACATTCTAAATACAATACTGAAGTCATAGAACAAATGTACACCTTCTAAAAAGCTACCTAAATCACAAACATACTTGATGGTGTATAAAACGATACACGCACAAAAATAATACACGAATCTATTTACACAAATGTACAGCATACAAAAAAAAACAAACACGCTGTCAACTTTTATCACACGGGTTTTCCACATATCAAAATTATAAATAACATAAAACTATATTTACAAAGTCATACGCATGACTCAATATAAAAAATGTATTAAAATTATATTCTAAAAAATCCACAATTATGGGTATTTGGAAATTATTTTTAACAAATAATTCCACGTTCGTTTTAGGCAGTGAAATTTATCAAACTAAAATTTAAAATTGTAAAAAACTTAATCACATTTAAAAACAAATTCTAACGTTAGACCGCGTGATGAATTTTGTACTTAGCTCAAATAATAAAACATGTTACATGTAAAAATTATGATAATGAAATTTTTAGCTGTTATCGACGATCATTGTTTTATCAATGATCACCAGAGGGCGATGGAAATATTTTTTATAAATTTTGAACACTGGTTGGTTACATTGACACAAATGATAACCATAGATTTTGTCTCTGATGATCACATTTCGAGAGAGTAATCTCCAAAGATGACAATAAAATTCTAGACAAAAAGTACTGTACCTATTAATGATTTTCGTAACAAAATTTCCCAAGCAAATATTTTCTCTATTCTGCCAACTCGCTTTGTTAAAATATTTTAAAAACTTGAGCTAAAGAGAAATAAGACACTTGGAAAATTTGTGAAATTAGACGTTTATTTTGTGTCTACATCTCCCAAAAGACGAAAGTTAGATGCACGGGACTAAAAACTTAAAACTCCTAATGATAATTGTGAAATGTTTAAGATACCATCTGCCTATGGCCATTTTGGCCGCTACCATTTTGAGAGGGAAAGAGAACGCCTTCGTAGGTGACGCCGTTTAGTTCTATGGATACGACGAGCTGTTGATCGCCTGTGCTTGCATCTCCTGTGAAACAAAGTGACATTAAGAAACCGATTAAATGTCAGAAATATCAGAAAAATAATTTTTTGTAGACATAGTAATAACGCACACACTCAATATAGCCCTGCGCTACGGAAACCCTGTCTCGCGAGTGCCATGAACACACACATAGACAACCACAAATTACACTCAAACCCACAAGAGAAATAAATGTAAATATTTCAAATAATAATATTTCAATATGCAAATATTTCTCCCGGCCCGGGAATCGAACCTGGGACCTCTGCGTAGCAGTCCGGCATGGTAACCGTTCGGCCACGGAGGCGGTTATTTTCGCGTGTGTTTGCGCGTGAGTGTGCGTGTGTGTCTGTGTGTGTGTGTGTGTGTGTGTGTGTTTGCGATTGTGTTTGTAAATCTGTGTGTAAATACCTACAGAGTAACAAGTTTTTCAACATCATTATAACTGAGACTTTGAAGCCACTGAGAGACCTTGAATTTACATTCCCGATAAGGTAGAGGATAGATATTTAATTCTTTATTAATATTATTACAAAGTGGAGAACCACAAAAATAGAAATGGTGGCCTAATAATGCATTTCTATACCTCGCAATTTCACATACTCTGTCTGTTCTTCGTTTATCCCTGAGTAGATTTGGATCATATGGTAATCTTAGATGTTTACGTAAAATAGCACCCAAGACAAACAGTTTCCTAACCGAGTGCACTTTCCATAACGCATATAGGTTTATTGTGGGGAACCTTATAGGTTTCCACGCCATAACCTTGAGAATCGCTCTTTCTGATCTTTCAAGGCGTAACAACCGAGTCTTACCATAACCTCCCCAAGCTGTTATGCAGTACGATATAATGGACTGCGCAAGCGCATATATGCCATTTTTAAAACGAAAAAGTCAGCACCAGATCGTAGTTTTTAAAAAATGTAAATTAATTTACGAGTACAAACATTTGTCGACTCGATGTGCTCTGTCCAAGTTAGACGACTGTCCACAATAACACCTAGATATTTGATATTCTCCTATCTAGCGATAACAGGGCAGTCACAGGATTGAGTATTTAGGGTACAATGGTGTGCATAAAGTGAAAAAGATTCATCCGGTTATGATGCTAGTAACGGTGAGAAGGTACCTAATTAATTTAGTTTTGTCTAAATTGAGAGTCAATAGATTATTTACAAGCCAAGCCATGATCACGCGCATTGTAGTCTCAGCGTGAGAGCGGGCACTATCCCATGTGTCACCAGGAAAAATTTTTGCAGTATCATCGGCATAAGTCACAATTTCAGAATTAACCAAGGTTAATTTGCACAGGATAATGATGAAATACTTTTACGTTTTAAGAGTCGTTACTACCTCAGCTCGAATTCAATTTTTTCTCGTACGAATACGGTGCCTTTTGCATATGTCAAGCGGTACGTGTCCCTGTCTGGCTTTATTTCAGAATTCATTTTTTTACAAACGAAATTAAATCCATTTCTAAAATGTATATCGTATACTATACGCGTTCTATTTAGTTTAGTAGGTATAAATAAGAATACTCAAATGACGTCACGAACAGGTCGTGCACCTGACGGTAAGCTACACGCCTGTCCATAACACTTGTAGTGCCACTCGGAACTTTAAATCGCAGTGATCTGCACTACCACTGCACCCGTCACCTCGAGACATAACTTGACAAGTCCCATGGCCGATAATTTCACCAGCACCCTTCAAAACCGGAACACAGGAATGCTCACATTGCTGCTTGGCGGCAGAAATAGATAAGGTCGCACTACTTCCCTGGACGAACATTTTCACAAGGAGCTCTACTGCTACTACGTGTTTCTACACTGTATAGTAATCAGTGTATTGTAATATGCTCAAGTTTACTAGTGACTTTTTTTCCGTAAGGGATGATTACCACTTTATTCGCGTAAGAAATACAAATTGTTTCATGTAAAGCTTAAAACAATTACATTCGTGTGTTACATTAGTATTCATTTTTTGATACCATACATCAACGAATATTAACTGTAATGTACTATTACTGTATGCACTATCGCTTGGATTTCATCCGAATAAAGTCGTAATATCATATTGCCGTTACCTCTTTTGACATCATGTTTCAACGAATAATACGGTAATGCATTAATACTGACTACGAAATCGTTAGGTTTACACGCAAATAATATGGTAATGATGCGTTGCATACTATACTTTTGGCCTGCAATTTCAGTAATATTATTTTCATTAATAATTTTATTTAGTAAAACGAATACAAAAATATAAAATTGTTAATAAAAAAATTAGCTTTGTTTTGACATAGAAATAACTATCCTACGATGGACCCGAGCAGAGAAATGCACAAAAAATAGTTTTCTATTTTTCCTGCAAAATTTAGAATTATCGGTTACCATATTATTCGCTGAGGAGTGCGAAGTTATCTGTGTACGTCGGGCGTACTCAAAAAAATTGGGTAACAATTACCGAGTACAGTACGCCAATTGATTGGCAAATCCTTCCACTTCGATGGCAAACTTTATACTGTACGTCATCGATATAATAAGTAACAAAATTTGTAGCACTTGATTTACCTCTAGTAGTAATTTTAAAAGCAGCGCCATTGACACCATTCGTATTGCCTCCGTTGATTTGTGAGTGCGTCTGCGCAGGCAGGCTAGATGGGCGCGATGGGGAAGGAGCGCGGGGCGACGGAGGGCGAGGTGTGCGTCGTTTTGCGGGGGGTGGAGGTGAACGGCACGCTTCACGTTTGATTCCGCCGCTTAAGCTGTTTGGACTCTCGCTTAGATTCAGAGCTTCTCTGTGGATAAAAAAATATTTGACGATCATTAAAGACACTTAGGGTCGTATTCTAGAACTCTACTCAATGCTCAAGTCAGGATTGCACTGGAAACACAAGCACTGGAAATACGACCCTAATGACAGAGACTTGAGTATGATTTCGAGTGCTTTAAATCATATTCAAATCCTGACTTGAGCATTGAGTAGAGTTCTAGAATACGACCCTAAATATTAGAATATTTTATCCATTGATAAAGAAAAGCGGTTCGAAAACAGATCCTTACACGACACCAACTCGTTATTCCAACCTTTGTAGCTTCATATTATTAAAAAATCGTATGTACAGATGCTAGTCTTAATTAATTAATAGATTAAACTGGTTCGATATTTGAACAGCTAAAATATTCTTACATTCCTTATTGTTACATCGTCTACCGTATTTATGAAGTGCATTCTTGAAAGCCTTATGTAAGGCTTAAAGCCCGGTTCAGACGTTAGCATTAAACGCACGGCATGTTAAATACGGCGCTTTATGAATAAAATTCGAGTAATATAATATCGAGTAATATATTGAATATCACGATTAATTAATTACGTTTGCGCACCATGTCCGATCCGTATCCGAGAATATACAGACCTAGAAAAGTCGGACCGACGCGCGACGTGGTATGTTGCTTGTGCACTACATCCAATCTGGATACGAGAAAATACGGATACCACTTGTACATCTAGAGATTCAAAATTCTAGACATTCTGGTGCTAGTTCGTTAACTATATGTCCATTCAATTGACATATTTGTACTTTCGATGACGCAGAAGAAATAAAGGGTTCTAGGTACACTTTCTTCTGATAAACTGACTTTTCAGAGACACATTTTATAATAATCACGATGAACACAAAATAGCAAAAATGATTTTAATTATTACCCGAATAAATCTGTCCACTTTTGATTTACTTTTAGGCATACATGGATCACAAGCGTTAATAGAAAAAATACTGTAATTACTTCGGTCTGCGAATATTTAAAACCGAATTGAAGGTATTCTCGACTTCGGAAGACAAAATTCTGATTTAGTGCGTAATACTCCATATAAATAATATTATACAGTAGTCTCGGATTCGGAACTGATACGAAACGGACGCAGTGCGTAAACGACCTAACGCTTATTATCTGAACATCTGAATTACGAATCGCATTTGCATATTTTATAGGAAAATAATAAACCTAATTATTAAAAGAAATTCAAATGATAAATACTTACCGTTGTGGCTCGATTTCAGTCTGTGGGCTGTTGTTGTTGTTATTGTTGTTGTAAAGGGACCAGAGCGTCAAGCGGGAGACATCGATGGCACTGAGCGCGGCAGCGTCGCGTGGCGACATCATTGGGGTCGGCCCATTGATGCCGGGTGGTGATTCAGATCCTACACAAAATAACATATACATCTTTGGGTGAGTACAGATCTGGCGAATGAGCCGCAAACGTGCTTGTTTGCAAAAGGCTGCACACGTGCAGTACGTTGTGTGATTTGTTCGTGTGCCGTTCGCACGCCAAATATATTAACATGTGTTTAACAACACGCATGTAGCACGTGTGCAGCGCCCGTGCAGTGCGCATGCAGCGCACAGGCAGCGCGTTCGCGGCGCATTTGTCAGATTTGTACGCAGCCTTAAAAGCCCTTTAAACCCAATTGAAAGATGATAATGACAGATGTATCTACAATAAGCGTATAGAGAAATTCTAAGATATAGAAGTGGTTGCAGTCCAGTCTGATCGAAGGAACTTTTTTTAGTGTTATTAGATCTTTGTATCAATAACAATAACAAAGCAGTTATTTATTGAGAAACATTTTTTTTTTGCGTTTTTCGGAGCCACCACACTTATCGAAACAGATTCGCATTTAACGGTTAGAAAACTTAATGTCCTAGTACCTAATAAGAGCGTAAAGGATTTGGCGTAGCGATCCGAGAGGAAGCGAAAAGCATTTTTTTTATTTCAATGCACGGTGAAAAATAAAGATCGTATATAGGTACTTGTATCAGTGGCATAGCGTGAGGGGTGCAGAGGGGGCCATGGCCCCGAGCGACACAGCCATGGGGGCGGCGGCGAGCGCGGGCGAGGCCAAACTAGCAAAATTGCTTTTTTTTGTACTTAAAATTCGAAAATAAATTCCACTATTTGAGAAAACGATATCCTGAATAACACAAAGATGGCAACGGCAAGCGAACATAAAAACACAATCGAGCCGAGCGTGACCGTACGAACTACTTTTGTGTTTGAGGGGCAGCAAATTTAAGGTTGGCCCCGGGCGGCAGAAATTCACGCTACGCCACTGACTTGAATTTTCTTTAATAACTATATTTTCTTTAATAATAATTGTATACTTTAAGTTTTGTAAAACTATTCTATACGCTTTGTTGCTGGTCGATGTTAAATAGGATGGTGTTAAGACTTTGAACAGGTTAATGACGATCATTTGAAACATAGTCGGGGTATCCCAGCGATAGCAGTGTCCTAAAATCGTATATTAACCTACAGTCTGTCTTTTTTGAAGACGGAGTAAGATGACATTAGTAACTGCCTCCGTGGCCGAACGGTTACAATGCCGGACTGCCACGCAGAGGTCCCAGGTTCGATTCCCGGGCCGAGAGAAATAATTGTATGGCCTACAATTATTTCTCTCGTGAGTTTGGGTGTAATTTGTGGTTGTCTATGTGTGTGTCCATGGCACCCGCGACACAGGGTTTCCCTAGTGCGGGGCTATGTTGAGTGTGTGCGTTATTATTATTATTTGCAGGGTTGCCAGTTTTCAGGAAATTTTAAATATGCAGTTGTTGTCGATAGTTCTATCGATAGATTGTGAAAGAAGATAAAATATTGCCAAAAATGTCTAAATTGTGAATGTTACGATGTGCTAATGATTACTAATTGCATTATTGCCATCTTTATTTTTATTTCGACAGTTAGTCTACTAACATCAAGTTCAATTTCTATTCATATATATTTTAACAGGAATAGCCGGATTCTAGCTGTTTTCTGCGAGTGCGCTTAATAAAATTTCACGTCGTTTCTCTCTTTTTTAGTCGCTATTTTCATTGATGTCGATAGCTATAAACCACTGCACTGCATGAATGTGTCAAAACCATAATTGGTCAAAACTGTTTAAAATACCGAAATTTGCACTAGGACTTTGTGACATTTTTACAAAAGAATGTGGGTAAACACAACCGAGAAGTCGACACTGTTATATATGCGAGCAAGAGAGACAATTGAAACGACCGGCAGTTCGATTCGCATACTTTAGTGAACGACGATAGGTTATGGACGCAGCCACTCACACACATACACACAGATACCTATCTAACATTAGCTAAATACAGTGTACGTATATATGACCTTACAAAAATTGACAATTCAAATGAACTTATGTTCAGTAATTGGATCAATAAAGGGTCGTAAATCCTTAAGCGTGACCAATACTACCCTCGTAACGAAAAAAGGCACAACTATGCGTACTTTATGCAGCAGTTGTGCCTTTTTTCGTTCTGAGGACAGGATATTCAATCGATAGTCGATAGAAAACTTATCGACTGCAATGCCTAGCTGCTTTGAAGCGGGCAACACTTGTACGCAATGAACTGTCATTTTACTACGACTTCAAAAAAGACAGACTATATGTACGTTCAGAGATTCCGACTTACCATTCCTTATCAGCTCTCGCTGCTGTTGTATCATCTTCATGTACTCCCGAACGCGGTATTCAATGTCATGTTGTGAGAGATGAGGCGCGTGCGGCGGCAATGGTGGCAGGCGCGGCACCCCGGCCACTCCACCGCCCAATGAAAGTGACAGCGGCTGCATATGTTGAGACAGCTGTGCGAGGGAAGCTGGTACCCGGTTAAGGGGCGGCTGGAAGTAATTCTGATATGTTAGTTTGATTTTGTTGTAATAACAATAAAATTATGGCATGTTTCAATTATGATTAGGTTATGAGTCAATCTGTATAATATACTTGTGGAGACAGTGGTCTAGAATCTGGTACCTATATCCTCTTACAACTCTGGAAACTACAATGGGAAAAGCTCTAAGCGCCCAATGTACATTGAAACGTACAAAACGTATAGTTACATGCTACAATAGTTAATCTTTTGTGAAGACGGGGTAAAATGACATTAACAGGGTTGCCAATTTTCATACAATTTTAAATAGTCATGTTGTTGTTGACAGTTTTATCGATAGATTGTGAGAGAAGGTAAAATTTTGTCCAAAACATCTGAATTGTGAATGATACGACGTTTTAATGATTAATAATTACGTTATTGCCTTCTTCATTCTAGTTTGGCCTACAAGTATCGAAATAAATTTTTAATAACTTCTCAGTTCTCAATTCAACTGCGTTTTTTTTGTTTTGTATATATGTTACGCGATAACTCTCTAATATGTGAAAATCCGGCATTTTGATGATTCTTTTTTATTAGAATGAGGGTGGGTACCTCAGTAGTGATCCAATAAAAATTTGAAGAAAATATTCCACCTGTAAGAGTGGCAAATTAGGGGATGAATGACTTTTGAAATCGGTTTTTTAGTACTCTGTACTTAGATAATTGATATACATTTTAAAAAGAATAAGCGAATTTAATTATCTATATCGATTTAAAACGAACTTTAAAATGTGTCTCCACTTTGTATTTTTAATAGACATATCTAGTTCTATGAACTTACAAAATTAACAATTCAAACGAACCTGTACCCAACATTTTGACAAATAATGTACCCATGATGATTCAAATGAAACAAATTCGGCTGTTTATTGCATAAGCATGACCAACAACCAGTCGATAGTCGACAGAATGTTTATCGACTGCACTCACTAGCTGCTTGGAAGCGGGCAACACTTGCACTGTGAACTGTCATTTTACCCCATTTTAAAAAAAGACAGACTATACAAGCAATTCTCGTTTGCCCTCAGTTTTGTATGAAAATCGCAACCGGATTTTTTTTAAATATAGAATACTGCCTTCCTTAACATAACTAATGTAATCGCATTTTTGGCGATATTGAGTTGTTAGCATATCTGGAATCAGCGAAACAAGATCTAAACCCTCTATAAGCGGTTTTTTTGAAATATTATCTAGTATCATTATGTTTTGTTAAGCAAAATCAGCGTAATTGACAGTTTTCAAATAAAAAAAATTTTAAGTGCTATCTTGTATGTGCATATCTTGAAAGTTAACATTCAATGCGATATTTATATTGTAATGTACACTGGGTATTTATAGGAATATTATTGTGTCTGGATCTGAGTCACTTCACATAACATGTACATTTTGATGAACAGGAGGATAAGATATCAATATAATATCGCCAAAGAGTCACTCATAATAATATTCAGAGAACAATATACCGGTCAAATTTACATTGAACCTAACGCATATGGAAAACAATTGTGAATAGATGTCCGAAGTATTTGGAGAGAAATGACCAGCATGAAATAAATATTTACCATTGCAAGTGCCGCTTGTGCGTCATACTGTCCGGAAGCACGACGTCCCTCACGTTTATTGCCTTCGATAGCTGCATCCAGTTCACTGCGAGTCGATAGATTCTTCTTCTCACACTCGTAATCGTATAGGTACTTCATGTATCTGTAAGGAATTAAAATTGCTGTTACAACAGATCGATGAAATAAAAAATTATCTACGAGACAGTACGAGAGTTCTTCATGATCACGGGTTGAAGGTAAGAAACTTACAACTAGTCACAATCATTAACTGAATGACTATGAAAGTTCAAAGCTACCTATATAACGTAAATATAATCTTTGGGTTAAACAGATACAAATAGTTAAGAATATGATTGTATTGCGCAGATTTTTTTTAATGATATAGTAGTCCATAGCAGTTGCAGTCCCACTCGTGTCTTTAAATCGCAAAGAGCTGAGGGGCACTGCCACAGCACCCGTCATCCTGAGACATAAGTTCACAAGTCCCAAGTGCCTGTAATGTCACCAGCATCCTTACCTTTCAAAACGGCAATAGGTAAGGTGGTAGAACTTCCTAGGGCGAACTCTTTCACAAGGAGCTCTACTGCTACTAAGCACCCATAAGACCCATACCGTATGTAAATACCCATTAATGCAATAGATCTAGGTGTGGGAATAATATGAGAGACATACAGGTTTAAGTTAAAGAATAGGGGTATCTTTATGAATAATAAAATACAGCTCAAATCTTAATCCTGAATCAACTTTAAGCTGATTGTAAATTGTCTGAAATAAATCAGAAGATTACGAACACGTCACTATTTAATCTTAAATATGTAATATACTAGAGCGATCTTATAATGTCGTTTAAATTCAACGCAGTATCGTCGACTGGTGGCGACAGTCGAGACGTGACAGCCATATAAATCAAATTTCAAACCCAATTATTATCAAACGCCTATCCTTCAAACGTATAAAAGAACAACCCATTACCTTCTTAATCCTACTCTTATGAAGAGTCAATTTTATATGACCACATTGTCAACGTTCGTTACCATAACTCATATTAAGCGTTCACATATTTAATGCCAAACACAATGAAGAACTTTGAACAAACCGACGACGCTTCATAAAAACTAGCTACCTTTTCATAAACTGTCAAATGAAAAGCTAAATATACGACATTCGTCATTACGACCGTCTAATTTTATGAACGCTTGAAATCAGTGGGGAAACGCATCACAATATTAACGAAAATAAGTCAGGCACTTTCGAAATAGATGTAACAAATCGTAAAGTTTCGACTGAAACCAATAGTGTACCGAATAGTGTCGCATGCGGCACACAAACAAGTAACACAGATAGCGATCATAATGCAGATGTTGCGTTCAAAATCAACACGTCGTGCGTAACGGTGTACAGTTTGAATTAGAAATGTAAGACACCTTTATGGCGGCCGACAAAAGACGAGGTGAAGGAACTCGTCGGAAGATAAATGGGAAATTATATCGGCCGAGATGAGTTAGAGGTTATTAATTATGAAGTTGTCATATTGTCGCGTTGGACGCTCGCTCACGTACGGGCCATTGTGGAAGACGCTTTGTCTCCAACTCGTGAGAATTTAAAAGGAGTGATACAATGAGGGCACGAATATGGATCGGCTCCTGACTCGTTTTTGGGATGTTTGAGGACCACACATGGCCTATTGAACTCTTAAGTCAAATGCTGATTAACCGATATTAGATTTAAGTTGACACAATAGCGACCAATACATTTTCTGGAATTACAAAAGTACGTGGACGTAATTATGGCCATTGTAATCATGAACCATTTTGTGGATAAGTAGTGCCCTTATTGTATTTAGAATCCGAGTAACATGGGACGCATTTTGTACTAACGAAAAGAAGAATCGGAACATTGTGCTGTGAGTCGATCGTCATTTGTTTCTACATAATATAATACTTACTGAGTTCGCAAAGTAAAGGCGGCAGATGTAATAGAGGAGGGAAGCCGCAGCCCCTTGATAATCTCTTGCCAGAGTTTCTTATTGATGACCTCTACCAAGCCCCCTCTGGCTATCACCAGGTTGTACAACTCGTACAGATCGAGCACCGACTTCGCCATTATAGGCAGCCGGTTTATCGGAGTGCCTGGAACAATGAAACATTTGGTTAGTAAGGAACAATATACCATGTAGCCTATGCTATAAATTTTAAGAAAAAAAGCCGGCTTTTTGTAGTGTCAAAATGTTGTGGATTTTTAAATGGCCACTGTAAAGACACCGTAAACATTTTCCTCGAAAAACTGTCTGAAAATGAAACTATTAAAATTTATAATAGGCAGTATGGCCAATCAAACGCCTTAACCTACACCGAAGGACGAAAAGTTTTACAAAATGTTTTTTATCTATTTACGAAAAAACATTTGTGTTTTACAGTAGCATTAGTGGAAATTCTCATCGTAGTTACTAATTCTAATTTTATAAAGTAAAAAACATTTACTTAGGCCAACATGTGTAAGCGGTGCATCAGAAAACCCTTCGTATAACTGCAGTTTGTACCAAGGCTTTGTTCATAGCTGTCTTTCACAGATTTCTCGTAGTTTGGCGCTACAGCAAAAAAGTCGTAAACGCCAAAAACACAAAACTTGCAGCAAGCACAGAGAAATTAAAATGAGAGTGTCAGCCGCGGTATGCGAAGGCACTGATTCGAGTCAAGCCGGATCGAAGTAATTTTTCTTTGTGTTCGATCTTTGTATTAATAATTTCACAAAAATAACTGAATATCAGGGTAGTAAAACATCGTGATATTCAATTAACTAATATTATGTTCATAGCTTTAAGGCTGGTTTCAGAGCAGTGCGGATTTATCTGCGGACCGTCCGCGCGGAGCACCGGAGTTAACACGTGTGGCGTTAGAACATCGTTTCACAGTGACGCGGATTGCTCTGTACGGAACACGCTCCACGTAAACTTCCCACGTGCGTTAATTGTAGGTAATTGTCTTCCGTGAACATCCACACTAAATTAAACACTCGATTCAGAGCACTGCGGATTCTACGCATGCGGATGACTCGCAGGCGGACAGTCTGTAGTCCGTACGGAACGTATGCGAAGCTGTGAAATCAGTGTTTTACATCTTTGTTTTTAACCGAAACCAAATATTTTTTGAGATACAATATTCACTAACCGATCCCTACAAATAGACTGGACATCTAAACAAATGACTCATCCCAGAGACAAGGAAACATATTAATCATACACTAGATATCTCGAGTGTTATTCGGACACATAAAGTCATTTATGGTGGCTCTTTACAGCGCTTGGTAAGGCCTGTAAACTCGTGCGCATGGTAAATCGCGCAAGATCGATGATTTACGATACACCGAGTCAGATCCGTTTACGACCTTACATGGCCACAGTTGACTTTAAATGCAGTTTGCATATAGGCATATTTATTATTATACATACAAGAAAATAATCTTAGGCATTATCAGATAGCACACTAAGAAGATTTTTGAAAATTTGACGTATACGTCCAAATATTCAAACTAATAGTATAAATGCGAAAGAAACTCTGTCAGTTAAGTTTTCACACCTAAACCTCTGTACCAGATGAATATTGGTATAAGATAGATGGGATCTAGGAGTAGGACATGGGCTACTTTTTGTCACAAAATCAAATCTTAAAAGGAGTGAAATATAGGATGAAAGTTTGTATGGAGACCCAATCATTTCTCACTATTAGCTCATATAAATTTGAATAATATAAATTTGTAAAATACAGTAAATGCATGAGGAAATTTACGAAATTTTTGTTTTATAATATCAAGTGACGGGACGAACAAGTCGTGCGCCTGATGGTAAGCTACACGCCTATCCATAACAGTTGCAGTGCCACTCAGAGTTTTAAAAAGCAAAGATCTGACCTGATCACTGCCACTGCGCCCGTAACTCTAGACATAAGTTGACAAGTCCCATGTGCCTGTTCACCAGCACCTTTACCCTTCAAAACCCGAACACAATAATGCTGACATTACTGCTAAGATAGGGTAAAAGTGCCACCATTCTAGGATGCGAACACTGATCCTTACTTTATTCTATGTATACTGTGGGTTTAATAAACGTTATAGTAGTGCTGGATTTAGCGCAGCCGATGCGGCCACGGAAGCAGGCCAGATTGTTCGTAAGATTTACTATTTCACGGTGAAACAACATGATGTGCGAAGTAGTGTTCACGTGGTGTATTAAGCTGTTTTTAGTTGGTTGGTGATAAATTTTGGTGTATGTGTGATAAATTTTATTGAGCAAATATTAATAAACGTATTAATTACCAGGTTTCGAAATTATGAAGATATACTTATATTCTTTGGTCATTATCAAGATATTTATTTTCTTTGGTCATTATTAACATATTTACTTTTCTTTGGTCATTATCATATTATGCACTAATTATCCGAAATATATCCTATAATTACCTCAGTGGCCGAACGGTTACTGTAATGGTCTGCCACGTAGAAGTCCCAGATTAGTTTCCCGGGCCGGGAGAAATATTTGTATGGACTACATTTATTTCTTTCGTGGGTTTGGGTGTAATTTGTGGTTGTCTATGTATGTGTCCATGGCACACGCGATATGAGTGTGAGCGTTAATATTATTATATAATTATCAATACTAATTCTTATTTTTGTCTCATTAATTTATGATTAAAAATAACAGACCGTGAACAAACAAATAAATGAGAAAAATAGTCTAAGGATTTAGTTTGTGACTTTTTTGATATATACATTTGTCACATATCTCATACGTCTCTGATACAAACACATGGTATGACGTTGCTATGGGTAGCATTTCGTTGTTCCAATTAATTTTATATTTATCAAGAATTATATTTAAACGGTACAAGATTGATTCAAAGGAAAAAACTAGCATGACCCTGAACATTTTATATCTGTTGTTACATTATACGTAATATAAACAAGATTAATATAATTTATGTTTAGATTAGATATTATAATTTATTGTTATTCAACAAAATACGTTGACTAATCATTAAGCTATAATCACCGATTTAGATACCTAAGGTACACGTAAACAATTTCACTTAGTTTAGGTGTCACCTAGATTCACTTGCACTACTATTTATTTATTCATTTATAGCCTTTATTACTAATAACTTACGTACTAACTTATCTTACACAGAAACTCATTTATTATTACTCAAATTTGTTGACTTAGTACTTTCAGCTTGTCCTAAGACATAGACCTCTTCCAGAGATTTCCATTTCTCCCTATCTTTTGCTGTTTGCGTCCTCCTCCTTCAGCAACATATGAAAAATCGTCTTCCCATCTAAAGTATGGTCTCCCTTTCTTACTTTTTCCCTCTCTTGGAATGGTATTCCACAATATCGCTTGTCCACTTTTCAATTCTTTTCTCTCATCATGTGTGCTGTCCAACTTGACTTGCACTACTAACCGTAATTAAAGTTATATTCAAACATACAACGAAATCATTTTATTTCCAATGACAATATCGTCAAAGACTTGTCTTCACCAGGGTAAACAATAATAAATGATAAACGTGTACTATGTTTACTAACAAAGAGCAACTTTTTAAGTTTCTTGCTTATTCTTCTCAAGGAAATCTGCCTTACGAATGAGCAGTAGAGTTTCAATATGATGATATCAAGCGTAATTTGCCTATGAAATAAGGATGATGTGAGTTTGAGTTTGAAGGGGGCTCAAAAAGAATATCACTGGAGGAGATCATTGTAATGTACATATTAGATAATAAATATTGTACAGTAAGTTGCAAGTAAATACATGAAAACGGTTAAAATGAAACCGATCTGTAACGACATCAATCAACTGCTAAGCTTAATTGTTGCAAACAATTTATTCTCGACGGAGTTGAACCGAGTGTCTATCAAGTTAGCTGTCGTCACCCCCCCTCGCACCTCACCTCATTTACTCGATTAGGGTAACAAGGCTGCTGGAAAACTCCGGACGGAAAATTTGTCTTTTTAAACAGGAACACAGTTCCAAGGGGGCCTACCACAATCTCTTAAAACAATATTACTTTAACCTTACGTTGCCAATTACAGAGCACAAATTCATTTGAATTGTCAATTTTTGTATATTCATACATAAGGTACTAGGTATTTAGAACTACATATGTTTATGAAAAACACAGGAGATATATTTTAAAATTTGTCTTTTTAATTCAATCTAGATAATCAAATCCGGCTATTCTTGTTAAAATGTATATGAATCAAAATTGATTTCGATACTAGTAGACCAACTGTCAAAATAAGAACGCAATAAGGCAATTAGTAATCATTATATATATTATATTTCTTAATAAATAATAAAAATAATAATAAAAATTAGAACCTCGTAACATTCACAATTCAGTCACTTTTGGAAAAAAAATATTTTCTTTCATAACCATCGATAAACTTATCGACAATAACTACTTGACTATTTAGAATTTTATAAAAACTGGCAACTCTACAAATGTCATTTTAATCCGTCTACAAAAAAGACAGACTAAATTTGCTTTTTCGCCAACAGTGGCATGTTGTCTTTGCACATGCACATTCAACACTAAATATGGGAATTTCCAACATATGAAACAGACCCATAAATAACTCAAAGACTCATTTTGATGATTTTTTCATCAGGTCACTTTCATTGTTAAGGTGCGATATGTATACGTAGCTAGTTGTCTTATTTGCAACTTCAATATGGTAACCCTTTCCCCCGTCGATCGTTTATTGATGAGAGCGAAGCATTAGCGAATACCTAAACGACTATTTGTCAATCCGTCTTCCCTCTGCTGTTAATCATTCGCCGGTTATCTGGGCCGGGGGGGGTGGGGTCCCAATGGGGGGGGGGGTGACGTCACCCGGCATGGAGATTAATTGCCACGTTCATGTTTAAAGGGAATACAAAATTGGAGTAAATGAATTGAGTATTTTGGTGTTTATTTCTATTGTGATTGGTGAAAACTGTAGATAGTGTAGTTATCCAACGACAAATAGAATGAAGTGATGTAAGATTAAAACTATAGTCCAAAATCGAAAAATTGGTACAGTTTACAGAACTTCCTCCATGACCGAACGGTTGTCATACTGGATTGCCGTACAGAGG